CCACAGCTCCACTTCTGGCTTTCCTGAGAACCTACAGCTTCTTTTCAGTGTTTAATTGGAGATAAGAGTCCCATGATTTTCCTTCCTGGGCTGACTTCAAACCATGATCCTCAGAGGTCAGCCTCCTAAGCAGCTAGTCATGATGATAGGCGTGAGCCACCGGCTCTGGCTTTTTACCTTCTTCAAACCTTCTGTTTTAGGACCCCTCTCTGTTTGGTAGCCAGGTGACGCTTCTCCATGTCCCTGCAGGCACAGTAGGAGGCCGGGTAAGCAGAGGGCCTTGGGCCCAGGGATTGGCCAGGGACTACCAACCCCACAGTTCAGCACTGGAGTATGGGCTGGGGCAGCTCTCCAAGCAGTGGACTGCTGCAACTCTGCACTGTCTCAGAGGCCATTTGTCCCCTGTGCCTGGGTATATAGCCACACCGTGCATATGCTTGCTACACTGCCCCTCTTACTAAACCTGAAGGATTAGGACAGAGTGAACAGATTTGGGAAGAGTCCCACAAAGGACAACAAAGTGGTTGGGGTTAGTCCCTGGATGTTTTTTGAGGGTATACGTGTTGATGTTTGGCCAAAACATGTGCTGAGTGAAGGATGGTAGATGTGTAGAACGAGCCAACATTGGCTCGCATTCAGGGCAGCACACGTCAGGCTGCAGAACACCCTGGCTTTGAAGAGAGGCCACATCCTCACTTCTGTACGAAAACTGGAGCAGTGAGTGGGAGGGCCAAGGGAGGGAAATGCGTGTATTTGACCTGAAAGTAAGTTTCCTGTGATTGATGAATCACTAGCCATAACTACTGCTAAACTAAATTATAAAACGATAGAACTTCCTAGTGCCAGCGCTGATGGCTGACACCTGTAGTCCTAGCTACTCAGGAGGCTAAGATGTAAGGATCATGGTTTGAGGGCAGCCTGGGGAGGAAGTCCATGAGACTCTTTTTTTTTGTGGGGGGGTCCGGTCGTGGGGCCTGAACTCTGGGCCTGGGCGCTGTCCCTCAGCTCTTCAGCTCAAGGCTAGCACTCT